ATCCTAATGTAGTATGTGTAATTCGTTTCGTTGATAATTCCACGGACAGTGTCCGTGGTATCAGGAAAAGAAAACACGAATGCTGAGAACATTGTCGAGAACTATTTGACAAATATGATGGTTGAATTAGGAAACATAGTCAATATCAAAAAAGACTACAACATCTAAAAATTTTTTTAGCAATTGATGTACCATTTACAGCCATATAAAATATATACTTAATTTATGATATACGATGCAGCGAATTAAAATTTCTTTGCATTAAAAATGTGCCTTACACGGAAGAGATTGTTTGCTTTTTAAACATGGGTGAGGCACGTTCGACTTATTCTGTAGTGCATGTAATAAAGTGTCCTGGAAAATCTCACTTTCCATCCAGAACATGTTTTCTTTAAAGTCTCGTTAGAAGATTCTGTTGTCTTCACAGTGCTGGTTGTTTCTATGTGGACTGCCTGTGAGTTATTAGGAAAGCCTGTTTCCAGCCCCATAGGATTGCCCTCCAAGTAGGCCAGTTTTTGACTGTTGAAATTAACACAGTTTTCCCAGCCTCTTCCCTCTAGGACGTTGAATGATTTTATATTGTCCATCGTATTTGGGTTCCAACCTCGCCTACATAACTAGCTTGATAGTTTTCTAGCCGGTTCCGAACGCGGATACAGAGGGAGGGTTGGACGTGTGGCTAGCAAGCCACACAGTTTAACCTATTAAACCACTAGAAAAACTTCAACGCACCGAAGATATATTATAAATACAAAAACTTCAAATAACAACAATTCTATTCTTCTCTGGAATCGGAGAGGCGAAATGACACAACAGGCTGGTGAAAGCCTTCGCGAAGCCAGACAGACAGCCGTTGTGTCTCTTTCTCTCGACGAAAGGAAGAATAAGAATGGAATGACTGTACAATGTACGAGACTGGGAAGACTGCCATGTAGCCAAAGAGATTCGAAGATATGGCTTCGAAGTACAAGGTATCTGCGAAAGCAGATGAAATGGATGTGGATTGACAACAGTGTCAACGGGAGAGTCAATAATCAACTCCGGTCACCCAGACGACAACCACGAACACACTGAGGCAGTGAGTGGCTATCGTGATGTCACCAATGGCAGCCAAAGCCCTAATGCAGTGGGAACCAATCTCCTCCCACACGATTATGACAGCGAGATTCAACTCAAGGTAAGAAATGAAGGAAGATAACAATTATCCAATGCCAGGCAGAGTGCTACAAATAACGCGGAACAAGAGAAGAAGGAAGAATTTTACAGACAAATACAAGCAGTGATGGACAGCATTCCAAATGGTGACATCGAAATCCTTATGAGCGATATGAATGCAAGCCAAACTGGGAGCAGGTAATACAAGAAGAGAACTCATCATTGGTCGAGAGGCTCTCACCTGACGAAATGAATGAGAACGGCGAATTATTCACAGACTTCTGCCCCTTTAGTTATCTGATGATCGGGGTCAGCGTGTACAAGCACAAGGATATACACAAAGCAACATAGACTTCGCTTGACAGACACACCACAAACCAGATGGACTTCATCTCAATGCTGCTCAAGTAGGTGAAGACGCATGCTAGACACAAAGTCGAGAAGGGAAGCAGATGAGTGCGGGCTCAGACCATCATCTAGTTCAAGGAACCTTCAAGGTGAAATGAAAATCCCTGAAAACAAATGGAGACAGGCCACTGTAATCCAAGTTCAACATTCAGAAACTTAAGGACATAACCACAAGGAATGCCTTCACTGCACATCAGATCAGAGCAATGTTAGAGATACTGAGGAAACCTGCGTGGAAGAACATTGGAACTATCTCTCTGAAGGTAATGTTCAAGGAAACGTATACAAATGTTCTAGGAAGAAAGAAGAGACACGACAACGGACACCACCTGGATTCTAATGGAAGAGAGAAGAGGAGGATGGCACAGGAGAAGCTGACTAAGTGTAAGGATGGGCAACAGAGGGAGAAGCTGAGTTCACAGCGACGTACACTGCACTGAATAAAGAAATGAAGAAGAGTGCTGGGAAAGACGAAAGACATTCCTACGACACACTGGCTAGCAACTAGAGTAGAACACGCAGGGAGTATGAACAGGAGAACTCAGGACATTATATCAGATAACCAGGCTGCTCGCCATCCAGGAAGAGATCAACCCAAATGATGAAACCAATGGAAGATGTTCAGGGAAACCTGATTACTAACGAGGAGAAACAAATCAAACCATGGGTTAATCACTTTAAAGGACTCTTGAATCTGTTGTTAGAGCTGTCTGCATGACAAAATTGTACCACCAACAACACGCATGGAGCTCCCTGTCAGTGGACACCAGCCCTCTGACGAAAACAGAAATCCTAAACGCAATCAAGCTGCTGAAGGCCAACCGGGAAGGCGGCAAGATCAGACGGAATTCGCCTTGAAGCACTTGAAACGGACCCAGAGATTGAGGCAGATGTGCTCACACCATTATTGCAAAAGATGTGGAAGGAAGGAAAGGTACTCACCGATTGAATGTGATATCATATCATAGTGTTGTTCACTCTGGACACATGGCGAATATCCAATGTAAACTGTGAAACATAGTTCAGTTATCGTGATTCTCTTGTTGAATGCCTACCTGAATTTGAGTTCACCAAGGTCTGTGAAAATTATGAATTCACGACCCTCTATTGAATATAGGAAATGTCATCTGGTAGAATACACAGTGCGTCGGTGGCACAGTAGTTAGGACTCTCGCCGACCATGCACGTGGTCCGGGGTTCGATCCCCCGCCGACGCACACTTGATATCTATGGTCGACCTGCAAAATTTGGGCTACCGATATCGCATGCTGAAAATTCCATACCTGTACCAAAAATACGGTGTGGAATCAAGTTGTAATGAAAAATAAAATAAATAAAAATAGAAGTTCTCTGCCAAGTCTGCTGTATTTTGTATCTGCCGTTTGTCGCTGCCTTGAGAAGAAAGCAAGTTGTTGCCTCTTTTATTGATTAATTACTGCAAAACTGTACCTATTTCAGTGTATGATGACACAACTGAGATAGTTAATGGTGCCTTTGGATTCTGATACATAAGAAGGGTGGCATCCTGTATAGCTTTTTTAACCGGGACGAAGGCATCTTTAGCAGACACATCAAGTTCAATGAACTTGTTATTACCTTGGAGAATGTCGGTGGCTAAATCAAGAAGGCACAATTAGGCATAGTGCGAAGGATTTTCACCGTCTTTAACCTCAGAAAGTGTAAAATTACCCCCACTTTACTGGCCAGTGGACGGATACCCTTGCAGTCAATGATGTGGACAAGAAAATCCAGTGATTCTACTCTTATTAGTGGTAACAACGTGTTGGTGTAACCTGTCGAATGCTTAGTCCAGGTGTCGAAGGTGAGACACTTTATTAAGACTGGTAATGAGGCAGTCGTCTAAGTGTATGTACACAAACTCTAGACACCGGAATACTTTGTCAGTAAAACTTTGGAATGTTTGTGCTTCATTCAGGAGACCGAATTCCATGAGTTGGGTAGCCTATACTGCCTGCACACACCGACCAAGTACCTCTGTGAATTCATTTATAACAATTTTTCTTGAAAACTTGATGACAATTTGGAATTATATAGTATGTCAGTAACTATATTGCTACATTTAACGACTACAACTGAATGAAGCATGCCTAGTATTCGTTATACACATAAGACTTATTCTTTGGTATTGATATTAGTTGTTTGATGGTGTCTAGTAAAGTAATTCATGATGCACATTCAGTCCCATTTGGGACTCATCAGGTGAACGTATCTGCACTCCAGTGAGATATAGTGTCCTCAATAAAGCTAACACCAATACCCAGTATTTTTCAAACGAAACTTTATCCACAAGACTACTAAACCACGACAGCCGCCTCATGGGAAACACATAATATCTGACTCTTGATTTCTAGCTTCTCCGTTAGCATTTGTGAACAGAATTCACTGTCTCTTTTTGTTAGATGGATTCCTAGAATATTGCTTTGACTTAGTGTTACCTGTTGGGTTAGAAATCGAGGCATTAACGAGTAGTACATTCACAAAGTCTGTCCATCTGAAATGACACGGATTAGTTCCTTTCAAAAATATCACCAGGCGATTAAAAGTATGAACACTGGATATTCACTCCTATTTCATCTTCATAGACAAAGGTTCATCCAAACACAAGCTTAACTGGGTACTATTCTACGAATTGAATAACTTCATGCCACATTTTATTTTAAACAGACATAAGGTAAATAAAACCAATGCAATCAAGGAGCACCGGACACATTCCAACCTAATTTCTGACTCTTCAGAAGAGTTCATCAGAGTCTTCGACGAAATCTAGATGAAAACTACAATATTTTACTGCTTGCTAGCTTTTTAGCTATCACCACCTTAAAAAAAACTCCATCTCAGCAGAACAAAGTAATAAGCACACTGATTATTTTTTTTAGAACTCAAAACTCTGAAAATATAATTTTATTTCTTTTTTCGTTAATTTTCTTCGATAAATAACATTTAACTATAGTTTATATGATTTGAGCAAACTGGCTGAAAAAGAGAAGCACTATCAGTAAATAAGCCAACATTCAAGAAGTTCAACAAGAATAAACATAAAGCAACGAAAATAAATACTACCAGAATACCTCCTTAACAGTCGAACATTTAGAAATACAATAAAACACAAGAACTAACTGCATAAACACACACACACACACTGTGAATGTGTCAGCACATGAATTTTCGTTACGTGTCCTTCCCGTAATACTAATACTTTCAGAATTCAATATTTTAACAGTACTACTGACTGACTATTTCTAGCCACAAGATAAGTAAAACAAAGAACCACCTTTAACACCATAAATAACTTCAAAACAGGGTACAATGTAAATCACTTCATTACAGAAAAGGCGAACAAGTGATTATTTTCGACATACTCATTATCGAACTGAGTTCATTCTTTTTTCAAAAAGACTAGTAAGCCAATAAAGAGAAAGTTACGGAAAAAAGAAAAAAAACACCAACTCAACCTACTTCCTTAACAACATTTAGAAAACAGTTCAACTTCCGCAAAATGAATGTCAAAGGTGGAAACCATTTTTGTGTTGATTTCCTCATTGTTTTGTCTACAAACCTGTGATGTAACACTAAAATATCCAACTAATAAATCAAGAAAATATCGAGAATGTTAATAGTGATTATTACACCGATAAAGTGAGTAAACAAACGAAAGAAAACAGAAACAGACAACTGACACCAAAATTGAAGTAACAACGGAGGTAAAACATTACAAACATTGTCATTAATGTTTCGATTTTCTGCTTTCTTCAACTTCTTTGGCAAGGTACATGTCCCCCGTTGCCCAAACGAACTTGACGACGTTGAAAACCGTGATTAATCAATGGGCCCCGACGAAGACATTTGGAACGTTGAGCATCTACACAAAGATTTGTGTGGTGATTGTTATTATGCTTCCGACTAGCATTCCAACGCGCTAGTATTTGACGCGATCCATTTGTATTTATATTCGAAGACTGATGTATGTGACCAGGTCGTAATCCATTTCGAGAATGAACTTTCAATGTTTCCGTTTTCGATGATACACGACTAATCACATTCATAGGAACAATGGCAGGAAATTGTTTGTTCTTTATTGATTTATCATTATTTTTAGTTTTCACACGAGGTTCAACATATCTTTCTGGACTGCAGTGGGAACTATAACAATTATAGTCACTGTGTGCTGAAGGGGAACGCGAACGGTGTTCAGTTTCATTATCTGAACGTCGACCAGCTACTGAATGTGGGCGACTTGGATAACCATCATCTGGATCGAATTGAATGAATGACCAATCAGATCCTATAACATAATATTAATGGAAATAAACAACAAAATAATGTCAATAGTGAAAAAATTGTCAATCAGAGAAATTGAACAAATTAACAGACAAGAAGAGTCTGAAATTAGAAAATGCTTCATCCGGATTTTCGCTAGAGCACTGTAATTTACACATAAAAGTACACTTAGATAATGTATCCCAAGTAGGATGAAATGTGTATCACGTATTCCTCTTCCCGGTATTATCTCTGATGATTACCATCAAAAGTACGAAATACAGTAAATCTGAAAACCACAATGTTTAAATACTAATACTAATAATAATAAATGAAGCCAATTGTACAAGATCGGTCTAACGGAAACACCCAATGTCATGCAGAAACATTTCTCCATCCTTATAAATAAACTCTAAGGTTTAGGACACAGCTTGACAAAAAGAGACTGATCTTAAAGATATTTTTTTCAAACACAACAATACACTAGTTTCCATAAAATTTGCGCAATACAAATAATAACGATAATAATCAAATCACCACTAAATAGGATTCAAAGGATCCACACGTCAGATTAAATGAGTAGAAATATCAAAAAGTCAAACATAGAATCTTGCTGGATTACGAAATCTGTGGAAACTAAAATACTTCGAAACCCATTATGCGATACGTTCACCTTTACACAACACTCCGGTCCATTTTAGGGTCATATAATATGACTATGAAAAAAAATTATAAGGCTTGGTAGCAACAAAACACTAATTGGGAAGTAGAACATTCTAGAGCACAGACCCCACCACCAATAGTAACGGAAACATCACATCTCAATGAGTGTGAAAAATTCCACATGTGTTTATGTCTGAATGAAGAGCTGTAAAACATCTGCTAAAATGGTTTTAAATAAACAAATGAACACCCAAGCGTTAATAAGTGTGCAAGTGATATACAACCACTTTTGTATTGTTTAAAACATTTTATCGGAAAACGACACAGGATAGACGTCTAAACATTATTCAGGATACTTATTCACACCAGATTATTTCTTAGCCCACCTTCCCCAACTGTGACCTTAGATACTTAATTTTAAAAGCAAGGGTGTGGTGAACACAAACCATTCTGTTTATTTTTACAGGCCTTATTAGCTATTTCCTTTGTTTATTTTACCGTATTTCCCATTTCCTTTTTTGTCATCTTGATAAGCAAATATGCTTTGTAGGATTACGGTGTAGTACTCAGAGAGGCTTCAATTCATATCACGAATGGGCAGAAAAAAGAACTGATGACTGAATGGTTAACGAACTCATCGCATAACTTGAAAGTCATAGGTGCATGCTACTGAAGACACCCAAGGCCAGGACGAAACACCTACCACGTACTCCTTGGTTTTCCAAGTGCCTTCTTACTTTATATTCTAGTCGGAGAATATCTAAGACAGTCCATATAATCGCGAGTTTAGCTTACTTAAAAAAGACAAGATTCGATTGATGGGAAACTTAGGCAAAACTGACGGCATTCATAGTTGTTTTCATCAGTAATAAACTATAATTACACAACCAACAGAAACAAATGACTATTAGAAAACTGTTTTGTTCGGGTGTCAGTCATGTCAACAGAATTAACCCAAAATCTCTAGAGATAGAGACAAGAGGCTTTTAAAGTTCCATGAAGATCAGGCAAGAACTTTAACCCCTGCGGTGCGATCAGATAGTTCGAATTTTCCAAATTACTCATTGATGAACTTAAATTCAAATTAATTTTCTTAGATGCATAATCTGGTTGGCAATATGTTATTTGTCCCCATATACATGAATGCGAACCTACAAGTGTAGACAATATCCAAACGTGTTCTTGATATCTAGTGCAACCCTCAAACTTCTGTTTGAATAACTAGTGTATACTGATTAAATGAGTACAAAATACCTTACACTAGGAACGAATGTATTGTTAGCTTCAAAAAATTACTCTGTGGTTGCTATTTGATGTCCATATCTGATAAAGATCAGTACCTTAGATAGAAATAAATCGGATCATTGGAAGACTCCGTGATCGGAACTATAATCCCTAAGCTTTACCTAATATCACTGATCCACAAGACAACCAGATAATTTTGATCGGTCTTTTCTGTTTTTTAGTGGGTTTCGAAGTTACTTCATTCGACAATTATGTATAATTGATTTCCCACAGACTAACCAACACAGAGATAATCACTGATTCGGTAATTTTATCCTAGCAGGCAGAACAAAGCGAATTAATTTAGTACACACTCAGTCTTTTAAAAATTAAATATTAGCCTAGAATAGAAATCCAAGTAGGTAACTTCTACATCCATGGACAATGGGAAAACTTAATTTTATTGATTCCTTTGCTATTTTTATCAATGAAATTCTCTTCCTTTATGACAACAACCAATCAAATTATCATACGACTAGTGGGGTGAGAGAGAAACTCTAAGCTCTACAACTTGCTACCATAGTAATCACTACAATAAAACAGTTCAAGAAATAATATTTGCTAGAATAGGTCATATGGCTTTCCATTGAATATTACGAGAGTACGGGTTGAATTATATTGTCTGAAACAGTGTTAGTATTTAGGAAGAGCCTGTTTGTTGTTTAGTTATTAGTTTGTCGAACTAGAAAATTCAGAAAAATAAGAACAAAAAGTTGCATTCAGTGTCATGCCTGTTAAGGACATAAGATTCATGGCATTTGAATATTTACAAATCATAGCTTCACTTATGCTTTAACCAAGGAAAACATAGAATCTCATACAAAGAGTACACTATTTCATAATATTATACCGAATTAAAATTATATCAAAGAAAAATATGAGTGATGAAAGCGTAAACAATGAATGCAATATAGTCAAACATAAAGTATTTCCAACCATTCCCACCCACGATATGCACACACGTACACTATGCATTTTGTGAATCCTGACAAGAGTAAACACTTCATGTGACTGAAACCAATTTTAACTGCCACATATTTAGGTAAATAATAGTTCGAAACAGTAATCGTACAACTTATTCCCGTTAATCAGCTCAAATTCATAACCTTATCGATTAACTAGGTTAGGACAAATAATTCACCGCCAATTTTGCATTAACCCACCTTCAAGCATGCGTCACTATAGAAAAGAGGTTTAAGATACAGAAACTGAACAGTAAGGAAAACAGTGGATATATAATATCAACGGTACAAAAAATTCAGCGAACATGGAGACTACACCATTTAAGTGACAAAATACAGAATTGTCATAAAAGTATTTCTGCAGTGTTTTTCTTTATAGTGGAATTACAATCTGTGTCACTTAGATGCTCATATTGTAACTAACAGGTTATGAGTTTGAACTTCGCTTCATTTATCAAGAAGTAGAAACTGTAAGTCATAACCCAGTATATGAACTTCTATGTGGTTGATAAATTGAGTTTCGTTGCGTTTCTCCTTCCAAAAGTGGACTGGAAATGCTATAAAATAAACTGAATTTCTGTTGATGAACCATTGAAGAAAAAAGACATCAATCAATACCCTATTTGGAATCCAGTTGATCCATAATTAATTAATTAATTAAGCGTATGTAACAGTTTTGCTCACTTCCTGAGCATGAAAACTGAAGGAACATCAAAACTTTAAAATGAATACCGTACTAGAAAGAGTTGCATGGAAATAATAACTACTGACAAAAATTATGTGGTGCTCAAAATTACTTTTTAATTAATCAACCAACTTTCGGCTATTACCTGTTTGATTTGATCAAACTTACACTTAGATGGCAATTTATCGAGGTAAACTTTAATGAAACACACAAACCACGAAAACAAAGTGATGGCTAACTACTCTACAACTAATCTTCGGATGATCAAGTTCGATTGGCTAGCCTTACTTAGACGCTACTTATGTGAAAGATCATGATCAAAAAGGTTAGTAAGGTTAGTTTCCCTACAAAATATCTGCTGCTATACAGTTTACCTGTCAAAAAATTATTCCAAATTCTTCATAAAATATTTAACCCCATATTGATATAAACAAAGAAATTTCCAAAATTCACTTCAATGTCCACTACTTTTTAAGTTCATAGTAATATTTGCATAAATTCAATCAATAAACACCGTTTAAATAGTTCAGTAGAAAGAGCATACATCACTTTCTTTGGAGGAATATACACAAAAATGGTAACAAATACGCTTTGTTTTAACAAAAATAAAGCAAAGAATTTTGATGTCTAAATTAATAAAATTCTTCAACATATACACGCATAAACACATTATTTTGTACATATACACATAAGTAATTAAGATGATTAAGAAATAGTTAAACCGTAAAAAAAAAATTAAGAACAGTCGGAAAAATGTGCGAGAAAACCGTAATAAAACAATCAAAATATGCTGTTCGTTTTGTACAGATACGTTTCTTTTCAACGTAGACTTAATGGCTAACTGAAATTATACTAGTGAAGTAATAAGAAGCTAAAGCGGATTGGACAGTTGTTTATACTACTTTACGTCTCCTCATCATAACTCACCGACCATTGTGATGTAGTGGAATAATAGGATTTGACCGGTCATTGGACTCAGACTGCACAACGGTGTAACAATATAACAAATGTGACAACAAATACACACATACACGCTCAAAAAAGCTCTTAAGAACTATATACATATATCTGCTTTGAGAACACCCCCTCCTCTGTAGACACATCATGCTGTAAAATCCACACACACATTTCTTAGCATACGCCCTTACCAGAGGTAAAAGAAAGTGTGCTCACATTCTCCAGATTTGATAAGAAGTATGAGACAAGTGTAAGCAGGAGAAAAAAACTTTGTTCAGACTTTACAGTCATTGAAGACCTTTGGAACACGTATTCATTACACTCAACCTAGTGGAGTAAACTATGAAAAATAGGCTGATTCAATAAGTGATTATAGTGAAATCTCAAAATGGTGAACTCCATTTATGTAACAGTTCTCTAAGCTAATGTTGTCATTCAAACTCTCCTACGATATAAAGGTTAATAACTTCAATA